GCTCGGGCATCTTCCATGTCCATGTATCCATAGGCTCTTGCCATCAATTGCTCATAATTGGCGACTGACTTCTTTGCCAAAGAGACGGCCAATGCATTGCTCTGCAGGCCGGCTACGAGTGCTGACATGGCGACCGCACTCCCTGGATCGTCGGCTTCCAACCTCTTAGCTTGGAATCTCTTGAAGTAGGCCCGGAGGCTCTCTTCTGGTCCCTGCCTCTTTTGGATCAGCACATGAGAGGGAAGCTCCCGCTTGGCGTCAGCTAGGAAATGATGGATGGACTTTCGGCTAAGTTGTCAAAAGTTTCTAATGGATCTCTTCTCGAGAGTGTTCCACCAGAGCTTAGCACTCCCTGAAAGAGTGATAGGAAAGCATCGACAGAGGATTACTTCTTATACTTGGAGCATACTCATCACATCATAGTAATTCTGAACAAGCTCGAATGGGTCTCCCTCGCCCTTGTATGTCTCCATGCGAGGCATCTTGAACTTCTCATGTGGAACATTCATAAGATCGTCTGAAAGGGGGTTATTACTCCCGAATATGCTTGCGATCGATCTGTTGACTCGATCGTATCTAGAGGCTCTAATGGTAAGACTCTCGCCGGTGAGTTCCTGATGAGGAAGGAGACATTAGCGAGTTGACCGATGTGGTGCAAATTTTGCTTGTTGTGGCTGTGAAAGCCGGCTGAGAAGCTCACTAGTAAATGTAGCAAATTGCTTTTGGCAAGATTGATGAATCATATGAGCTGTTGATTCAAGGTGGGCTTGAGTAGCATAGCTCTAATGAGGTCCTTTAGGACGAGATCGCTCAGCTCTATCTTCAGAACTAGACATGTTCTCTCAAAAAAGAAAGAAGGACCCACGGTGGGCGTCAAACTGTTGATATTCAAATCACACAGAATAATCTAGAATAGGATGGTTGCAGAGTGATGAATGATGATGGAGGGGACCGCTTCCTTCCCTGACTTTATGTCTTGGCCACTAAGTTAGAGTGAACGATTTGCACAGTAGAAGGTCGTGAGAGGGCGGGGTAGTGATTCTCCTATGGTACCTCCGACGATCAAGTCAGTTGATGAACTTGAGCTTGAGTGAAGTAATAGAACTATGTGTTCTTATACTATGTGTATTAGAGATGATGATCTCTGAGATTTAGGTCAGGAGGAGAGTTTAGATTGTGAACCTTTAGCTATGGCGAATAGCATCTGTATATAAAGTGGATATCAATGGTAGATTGGTCATTTAGGCCATGCAAATAGCGGTGACAAAGTGTGAGTTGGAAGGTGAGTCATCCTTTGCTCTACATGTGTCGGCTGGTGATAGTAGGAAGATCACTTCGGCCTTGATTTTAGGAGTGATCGATGGGACATAGGCTGATAAGCGGTGTGATGACTCACGGTCTTTGAGTAGAAATGATATGACTTGTTGTCAGGATGGATAAGCTTTGGCGAAGTTATCTTCTAGCTTTGCTGAGAAGCAATGTCCCTCGTGATGGGACTCGCGAGGAGAGTCAACTCGTTGAGAGGAGTGACGACTCAAGGATTGCTGGTGTATGTTGGAAAAATTGCAATGAAGAGAACGAAAAAAAATTGACTTGTATTTCTTTGATTCCGATTACAATTCGATTACAAAAGAGAAGAGAACGAATTTGGTTCTCTCCTTTGTTTAAAACTGGGTTCTTCAAGGTAGCGATGGAGTGCCTCCTTCGATTGTTCGCGTCGAATTTGCTCTCCGTTGACGATCCGACCGTCTTTTATCTCGTGGGAACGATGAACTTTTGTGGAAAGTCTGATGGGTAACTCTGAATGAGTTTAAGAACTCTGAACGAGTTAGAACTCTGTGAATAGAGTTGTTAGAACCGAAAATTCGGTTAATGACCAAGCAGATATTTTGTTGTTGAAGAATTCTTTCGGTTTTGATCTTCTGGACTTGATTCAAAAATCCTATCTTCAAGGATTTTTGTCTCTCTCCTGCCTCTCTGTGCAGTTGAGATCCTGAAGAACTAATTTGCTGCCTCTCTGTACCAAAAAGCCAGCCCCCTAACTCAGCTGAGTTTGTTGAGTTTTTATAGATGGATAAGAGGTTGTAACTGCCCTCCAAATCCGCTCCTAAGTGGGCGTGATTTCCTCAGATCGTGGGGAAACAGTTCTGAAACCGTTCGACTCGTATTTGAACGAATCAAACGCCCAATCTGGCGTTCAGAACCCAACGTCGCCTCTTAGAATTGAGACGCGAGGTTGGGTGTGGGCTGAACACCAATGAACGTGAGGGTCGCTCGCGTTTGGTTTGTTATAGCTTGGAAACATGGGGGTCGGTGTTGGCTGAACACCAATGAACGCGAGGGTCGCTCACGTTTGGCTTGTTATAGCTTGGAAACGCGGGGGTGACTTTCGCGTTTTAGAAGGGATTAGTTGATCTGTAACCTCTTCTAAGAGCGTTGCAAGGACCGTTGTTCAGTAATCCTAGCTTTAGCTGTTGTGGAATGTGAAAGTCGTCAGATTGTAACTTTCACTGTAGATTGTGGAGACTGCTGAATAGAGTTTTTATCAGTTGTCGAAAGTGTCGTTGAATTGTAACTCTTCTCGATCTATGTGAAAGGTCCTCTATTTGCAGCTTTCGCTCATCGGCACGAAAACTATTTGATCGTAGCTTCCATTGTTAGAACTTGACGGGAATCAAACATCCATAGTGATTTTTAGACGAATATTTGCCCACAGTTCTCTACCAAGCAGCTCACCAACTAAGTCCAACCTTTTATTTCTAAAATCATTACACTGCTCATCAGCATCTCTAATAATTGCTAATATAATATTAGTCATGCTGTTGTCGCAGCCATCAAGATCAATCATCTCAGAAATGAGGTCGTATTTATAGCGGTTGCAGAGTTGCAGATGCAGTAATTAGAAAGTCGCCTGATTGTAACTTCCATCGTCGGGGCTTGATGGGGATCAGCTATCCATTGTGATTTTTAGACAGCCTACAGCTGGCTGAATGGAGTCGGGTGATGACTCGTCCCGCCTTTCAAGTCGACATGGAGGAGTATCGACTCGACTAGGTCGACTAGGCTCTTGACGAGTTGCCTGCTACGAGAGGGCCGACTGGTACCACCTTTTGTGTCGACATTGATGAATGTCGACTCGTCTGGTCGGCTAAGTCGGACTGCTAGCTGATCTCTGACTATCTCTCCCATCGGTCGAGATGTTGACTCGTCTGGGAGGTCAGGATGTCTCTTGCCGATTAACACCGCTTCTCGTGTCGACACTAGGGTGTCGGCTTGTCTGGCTGGATGGAGATGACGACTCATCAGATCATATATTTGGAAACATTTGTACCCCATAACAATGGCGAATGTCAGATAGTTGTGCAGTAAATGGAGAGGTGGTATGCTGAAGAGCCGTAATTTGACTGCTAATATTTGTAATAGCTTTAAGAGCCTTAATTTGATGGCGAATATCAGAAAGTTTTGCAGCAGATGGAGAGGTGGTATGCTGAAGAGCCGTAATTTGACGGCTAATATCTACAATAGCTTAAATGGTAGGGTCTGAAGTGGTAGATGGCATAACATTGACCGGTAATCCTGGTGTACTAGAGGATTGGGACTGAGGGGATCGCTGACTACGGCCAGTTCCTAAGGAACATAACTCAGGATGAAGCTGGAAACATGTCTCAAAGTTGTGTCCCTCCTTGCAATAAGTGCAAAAGAGCTTAGACCGAGCCTGAGAAGCAGGTGCCAGTGAAGAGGCCAAATAGCAGCAATTCAAAGTTCAAGATAATAATCCTTGAACGAAACCCGAATGTTTAAAGGAGAACCCGAAGGTTAATGTAGAAACCGGAAGGTTAAAATGTAAGAACCCGAATGTTAAATTTGAACCCAAAGGTTATACATGACTGTTAAATCTAAGAGAAAAAAAAAAACAACCAACGACCAAGGTGACCCAAAAATCGGTCGGATTTGATGCTCACGTCAGAGACCTACAACGGATTAATGTCGTTTGTTGGAGGCCGAAAGACGGCTTAAAACGGCGATACTGTTAATTGACACCGAGAAACAATCTTGAATACGCGAAACGCGTTAAGAGGCCGCAAAGCGGCAATGCCAAAAATCTAGCAGAGGAACACAAAAAAGCATTAAACGACTGCAAAGCGACAATGCCAAGATTTGGCAAAAGAACGCCAGAAGCGTTAAAAATTTTTATTGGAAGAGAAATAATAACCCTAGCTCTGATACCATGAATGTTGGGTAAATTTCCCTTAAGTTGAATATTAAGCGTGCACATATATTTATATAAGTAGAGGAGGATGAGGTGTATTCTCACAACCAATGTGGGACTAAAAATTCACTACTAACACTATTATCAACAGTAATTATCAATAACTATGGTGATGTAGTACACTAACAACTCAACGTGAAATATAATTATACATGCAGTCATAGAAGACCATATCTGACTCAGGTACAATTTATGCCAACAACATTAACAAAACCTATTATCCCGAAAAAAAGTGGTCGGCAACGTTCACAATTTATGCCCAAATAGTATTTATTTCATGTTAGGCTCCATTATGCACTCAGAATTTGACGATGCTAAAATCTTTCAAAAGAATATTTACACATCCTCCCGTTCTTCGACAAGTTGAGTCTCTTGGTTTGATAGGAGGGATCTCTCGGTTTGGTAGGAGGGAAGGTGAGGGGAGGGGAGCTACAAAAAGTAGATTTACTTTTTGTAGGGGGGGTTTAAAGGGGTGGGTAGAGTGAGGGGGAGGGGAGGGAGGAGTCACTATAAAATAAAGTAAAAAAGTTACCTAGAAACATACCAGTCTCACTATAAAATAAAGTAAAAAAGTTACCTAGAAACATACCAGTCTATATTTATACCCCAGTGATGTGCTCTTTATGTTAGGCTCCAATACGCTCTCAAATTTTATCAAGGTTTAAATATTTCAAAAAAATTGTGAGAAGAGTACTTCCACATCCTCTTGATCTCTGACGAGTCGAGTCTCTAAACGAAACGCAGGTTACCAAGACCACCACTGCCTTTGATAAAAGCATCGTCAGCCGCTAACCGTGACAGACGCATTTCAACAAAAACTTACCTAGAAACATACCAGACTATAAAAATCAAACAAAGATAACAAACAAATTGAACATCTATCCGATAGCATAACTTTTTCCCCCAGGATCCAGCTTGAAAGTGGTTCGTCGTCGTCACAAACATCGTCATATTCTCTTCTTATTTATTGGCTTCAGCTTTATCATTTTAGCGCAGCCATTGAAGTCCCATACTCAATATAACATCCCATAATCAGGGGATCAAACGAACTTCAATGTTAGAAAAAAAAATTAGCACGTCGAATCAACTAGCGGCTAATTAGCTAGCTAAATTGGAACGCATTTAACTGTCAACACGTTTTCCTTGTAAATGAAAATATTCAGATGCCATATACACACGACACACATTAAAAGCCTACAAGATTCAGCAATTGTACCAAAGGGGTCAACACCAGCAGTTAAAAGTGACGTTGAGTTAGCCCGTCAAGACGAGGTCAAGGCCTTCTTACACAGCTTCAGGCTGAGCTCCATGTCCTCTTCATCTAACACAGCCACCCAGTACCTGCAAGTCGACAGACAATGTTCAGAAACTTGCATCAAGGAATTATTAAGTATCTTTCGAGCACTTGCAAAACATTCGAAAGCAATTTCATTCTACTCCAAGGCCCGCAGCAAGGAATCTCAACCTCAATCTAGCAGTCCCTCAGCTGCGACATCAACTTGTTCTTCGTTTTGAATGTATTAATATGAAAATATAACAATGAATAAATAAATTTATTTACCTCGACGTCTGAATGAAAACGACTAACAACAAATGAAAGAGAACTTTGGATGCAAAGTCATCCTTATCCAAGTTGAATACTGAAAGGAATGTAGCTCAGTCATCATTTGGATCCAAATAAAGTAGAATGTAGGGGGAGACGGTTCGAATTACATATTATTTTCATAGAACGTCTAAATAGGTAATGCCTATAAACCTCCTCTCCCGACTCCCACCTTTCATGATTATAAAGAGCTATAAAATCTATTATATCCCATAACAATACAAGGTAAGATTACTCTATTAAGTATAACGCAATAAAACCACACTGTCACTTGCAGAGAATTTTGCAGCATAAGCTTACTGAAGAAAACATGGTAAGTTCAAGAACCACATCTTACTAAGACGATCGCACCGAAGATTGTATGTCAACATTTAAGTTTCGGTAATTTCTGTCACCCCTACAGTTATGGTGTGCAAAGCCCAGGATGCCTTCACATGGCTATGATCTTCCTCTAGGAGTTAGCGGTTTTCATTCCATTAATCTAAAAGGTTAACATATAATGCATGCATAAAATCAGAAACCTCCCGAAAGGACATACCTTACTGAATTTATATACTTAAAAATCAAAATAGGTCCTGAAGTACATGGATGTGAGCCAAAAAAAAAGTATCAGTTACCATTCTCCCTGAGATTGTTCAGATTTCCCTTCCTGATGTACTCGTCAGGGAAACAAGCAGTGCATATCAAGAATATCTTTCCATGACAAATACTTTAAGGTATTTATTTACATGTCCAATAACACAAAAATATTTACTTGATTAGTGACAAATATGGATTCGTTGTTCTATAGTAATTACTTCCTACGAAGTTTCATGCATCCACAGTTCAGCAGTAGTTACTTGAAACTTCGAGTGACATTGTTATGCAACTGAGTAACTAGGCACTGGAATGGGTGCCAGGATGAAAAAACATAACCCTCTGACAGGTAGATGGATTATGATTTCATATGCATATTGATTAATTATCAGGAAAGGAGGCTAGTAAGGGGGAAGAGGAAGCTGCAATCAGATCTAACATCCGGGATGCAGTAATATTTGAAACAGGACCTCTTCATAACAGCTCCCTGATTTAACGATTTCCTTTGAAAAAAATGTAAGATGGTCACACAAGCTAGATAAGGTGCATGAATTAGTCAAGGGCAGAATCACAGCCGCAGACAGCATGAGAAGGTTATAATGCCAGTTAACTATCATGCCTTGTACATTATCTAATTGACTCTCAAAAGATAACGATCCCCATCAGATAAGAGATCATCAGTGTTAACAGAGAAGCACGACAAGGGGAAGCATGCCACCTCTGCACTGGGAATATCATCAGAAGCTTTATGGAACTTTTGGCATTATGATATGTCACGCTAGAACTGGAAGAGACAAATCAGATAATTGGATTTGTAAATGTTAGCCACAAACATCACAGAAAGATTCTGCTAATACCAAGGCCATCAACTGCACAACTTGCATCAAGTAACCACCAATAAGGCCATAGATAACAACCAGAAGGCAACATCACACATTTTTACATGAGTAGCAATCAAATAATATCATTATCATACATGCATCACTAGCCTCCAAGCCTCTTAAGAGTCACCTAACTTCAGACAAAGTAGATGCATGGAAAAGACTAGTGCCAACTTGCATCTCATTATATCCTGCAATATTTTGACTCAAGCCTTCTATTACTCTATGGGAAAAGTTAACTGAGAACGGACATCTTGTCCTCACTAATAACTCCTTAGGTAAAAATTTAAAATGCCTAGAACATTTATTCAATAAAAGACCTCCATATTACTTGGACGATATAATTTCAAGCTGTCTTCGTCAATCACCCTTTGATTCTAGATTATATATCAGTGGTGACACACAAAATTTCAAAATTTTCAAATATCGTTGAATTTATTTCTATCAAGAGTTTAACACAAAATCTACCTGTACAAGGTTTCATGCTGCAAATGCATGACTCCAAGGCTTCATAAAGAACATGCTTCTAAAGCTGAAATTCCTCGACGCTGGACATCAACACCATTGAGTAACAAGTCATGTGATAGTGAAAATTCAAGTGATCGACCACCTTCATTTTTGGTGCAGTCTCCGTCACCATTGTCATCATTAGGCTGGTTTATATGAATGATCTGACCAAACAGCTGAAATGATCCCTTGGTAAGTTTCCTAGTTTGTTTACAAGCTGCAAGTCCTAAAAGCTCCAGACCATGATTATGGATGCTTTCTTGGCTAGGAGGTGATGCAGCTTCTGATTGTGATGTACTCAACTCTTCTGGCATATTAATGCCATACAGATTATTAAAGAACATATAATTGGTGTTCCTGTGTACGAAGTCATATAAACTTGGTACACCGAAACCATGCCTGGCTCCCTGCATGCCAGCAGGAAATGTAGGATCATTGAAGAGTGGGGTTTTCTCCATCTTCACACTATTGGTGAGTGACTGAGTGAAATGGATGTTTCCATTGCCTTCGCTACATAACTCAGGAGTCTGTGGAACCTTAAGCTTTTTGAAGACAGGAAATTGTGCCTGCACATGGGTGGAGATAGGCCCTAACTCAACTTGCCAAGGACTAACAGCTCTTACATTTGGCAAAACCTCAGGCTCATCCCACGTCACCTGATAAAAAGAAAGCATAGAATTAGTAAACATAAAATCTGCTGAAGAATTACACAAAATACAAAAATTAAAAGTCTTTGTCCCAAATTGGTTAGGGCGATATCCTCTGTTAAATGTCCACACAAAATATAAAATTAGAAAACGAGAAAAATATATTGTTCCTACATGGTTCATACTTCATAGACCAACATCTAGATAAACATGATGTACTATTTTTCAACATTGATAAGACTAAAATATGAAGTGCCATACAGTAATAGCTACCCAACATGCCAGCTAATAGATAAATGCATTTGGTGCTCTACAAGCAAGTACACATTGCAAAATTTAAGTCAAGCCATGTAGATTACTCAGTTTTGCTATATAAATAGCTTGGAGAAAAAACAAATTTAATGTGGTTTTGTCTGTTATATTTAAATTGCAAGAGAAAAGTAATAATGAAATATGAAAATCAATTTACACGAAATTACATGACAAGTAGTGGGTGTGAAATATATGACTTCCGAATCTGCAAAGAGAACATCAAACTACTTTGTCGACATTGTTTTGAAATTGTAAAACAAAACAGAAAACCGGAATTGGCAGAAAAGATTAATAAATGTGCGTCTTTTATGTGCATCAGTATAAGTATGCACATGCACATGTCTCTGGATATATGCATTTCCCTGTGTGTCCATACATAGAAAGAGTTTTGTGTCCAATGAACAAAAATAAAGCATGCTGCTACCTGCTAAACTACATTGGTAACATAACAAAGTGGTGGTTAAACCAATTGCTAAGAAGCTGTCATGGAAGATAAATTCTACATTTTCTAACTTGTACATTAAGATAATGATAGAGTACAGCAATCTGAGTTCTAGAATGAAGTATATAAATTTCAAACAAACTTTAGGGTAGTTCCCAGCAAACAATAAAAGATGGTCACATTAGTATGCATGATTTTGTTTTTATGCATGTCTGCTTACTTATCTATCCACCATCTATCTATTTGTCCTACATGTGAAGATACATGGCAAATATATGCATAAACAGACACCATATACATAACATGCAGGTAGATGTGGCTAGAGTACTGTAGGTACAAGAATCTACAAAAAGACCTTCCTACCTGCCTGTCTGATTTTAGCAAATACAAACAGTGAAACTCACATGGCAATTAGCAACCACAATTTGTTTCCAATATTCCATACCTAAATAGAGAATACCTTACCCACAGAGAAAAGGAGAAAAAAGTACCTACCAGTATATGTGAGTAACATAATAAAATACATCATCCTCCAGGGGGGGGAAAAGCAATTACCAGAGTTATGATAATTGAAATCAATTGTTGAGCGTCAAATGTCTAGTGTGTAATACATACTGATCAACATATTCTATTTAGTTATATGACAAAGAAGATTAAAGTACATATAATCTTGAGAGGTTATTCCTAGTACCATTAGTCGTTACAGCATATTAATTTGGAATAAGTGAGAAGGGAAAGGACGTCAACACTAGAATGACTAATCTACTAGCATGCTGCCACATGTAGTGTTATAATAAAATTCTTACGAAGATAAACAGAACATGAGTCGACCAAAGTATTACCCACTTGCCTAATGACCCATAGAACACCCAAAGGGCCACAATGAATAATATAATCAAAGACTCAACACCCAACAACCACTATCACTAAGACCAATTAAATTTAGCAAATGGCACATTAGATCTAAAGACATTGATTAAATTATTACCAAACACTATACCCTAAGACAATCAAAAGAAAGGGACAGAACTCATAGTTCACCTGCAGCATTCGCCACGGAGAATATGACCATGGGCACGAATTCTTGATGCCCTTGCGGCTGACAGTCCCATGAAACCACGTCATCCTCGACGAATCCTCAGTCTCCACCGACATCTTGACCCTCATACCCTCTCTCCAATCGAACACAAGAGACCTATCAACCACCTCCTTCTCCACCACAAACTCGGGCGATCCTGCTCTTGGATAGTACAAAACCTCAAACTCGCGCCCCACCTTCATTAATCTAATCCCCTCCACTATAGATTCCACCGGGACCCTACCCTTCAAATTCCTCGAGAACCCATTCTTACTCCCCACATTACTAAAATTCTCATCCAATCTCAAGTACTCTGGATTCCCACAAGACCTCCCCGTGCGCCGAATCCCAACAAACAGTTTCCCATCACCATTCTTTATAAAAACCACGGAATCACCAGCAACAAGCTTCTTGCTATTAACAAACCGGCTCCATCCGGTAGTCAAGAGATGCCGGCGAGGGGTACCGCGGTAAATATGCCGAAAGTCCCAGCTTTTCCCGTGCACATCGATCACCGTGATGTTCTGCACCGGAGGATCGGCGTTGAAATCGAGCACCGGGAAGATCGAGTCCGCGCAAAACCTCGGCACCGAAAACCCTCCCCCGTTGTTGGCGTCGCTCGGGGTCAGGACCTTGGCGAACGACACCACCTCAGCATCCAGCGGCAGCGGAGAGAGTCCTCCCTCCGGCGGCGCCGGAGAAGAAGGTTGCAGGATCGAGGAGGATCGAGGCGAAGACCTCGTCGGAGTCGGGGTTGGCAAGGTGGCGGACGGCGGAGACGCGGCATAGGGAGTAGGGTTCGGCGTCGGCGATCGAAGATAAGTTCCCCGGAGTAGAGGATTGCTCGGCGTGGCCCTGGGGGAAGTAGTAGACGAGGGATCCGACGGCGGGGATCTTTCCGGTGCCAGCTCCGGCGATAGCCTTCCAGATGCTCGGACCGAGAGATGAGGACATTGATGTTGAGTATTTTGGATTCTAGGGTTTCGATTTTTTTTTTCAGGGATTTGAGTATTTTGGATTCTAGGGTTTTGAATCTAGAGGCGGAAAGAGGAGGGAGGATATTTATAGCTTGGGGGAGTCGGAGAGGACGGGGGAGTGGGGACAGTGCCGTCCTGTGAGTCTGCCTAGGGGAGCAAAATAATCGACACCGAAGTTCCCATCATTTACGAGCGTGCCACTGTCGAATTCTGTTGGAGATGACGTCGGCTGTT